AGTCAAGCCAAGTTACAATCCACAATGTTCAAAGTGTTCAAAATATTCAACCACCCTAAAAACAATCCAAAGCTCTCTCCCAGCCTCACATAGCCAAAAGTCAGATTTTTCTTTCTCTCCAAATAGTTTTTAAGATTAAAAGTCAGAGTTCAGTAGGTATTTATAGTCCACGAAGATCAGGGTGATAAGTATGCCAAAATATTTTGCTCTGTTGCCAGCTGTTCTCTATTAAGCTAGGAGTCACCGAGCAGCCAAGAAGCTAGGTTATTTTCTGTCTCTCAGCTTCTTACCAGGTCACCATCAGTCCTTGCAGTTGTAGTGCTATGCTCTAATCCACCACTAGAAGTCATTCTATATCCATTTTCCACTCTCAAAAGAGAAGGTTGATTTCTTATATTTCACCCCAATATTTTTTCAGAGAAAATCTTAATTATCTCAGTTCTCAAATTTATCAAAGCTGTAGTTTTATATTGTTTCCACTTCAGTATTATGTATTTCCTTCCCCCATAAAAACATGAAAACGCCACTTCCATTCCTCTGGGAGGGTGGGGCTACAGTCTCTTTCCTTCTCATGTTAGAAGGTTTTTAGCTTCTTGGGAGCCTTTTCCAGGAAATTCAGTTGTAAAATAGTAAAGAAAGGATCAATATTCTCATCCAGTTCCAAACATGCTGTTTACGATTGCTAGTTAGTGCTTTGTTTCTTCAGTTGTCAGTTTGGAGAACTTTTTTTTTTTTAATTTAAAAATTTTATTGAAAAGCAAAAAATTAAAAACATTGAACATGGTAACACAGATTTGACATATATCTCATTTCACTATTACCATAAATTACTAACGAGAAAAACCTATACAATAACATCACTCTAATCACAATCTTGAATTATCTCAGTACAATAACTTCCCTGCTTTTCCCCCCACCATCTGTAAAATTTGTTTCAAATTTGGTAAAAAACCGTTTCATCCTGATTTTTAAGTCTTCTAGTTAACCTATCTAATTCTGCGCAATGCATAATTTTATGAATTACGCTTTCCTTACTAGGTATCACCATAGCTTTCCAATTTTGAGCGAATATAATTCTTGCCGCTGTAACCACATGAGTAAATAAAAACATATCCTCTTTGCTAACATTATTTT